ATTTTAACAAATCAATAATGCAAAAATCACATACAAAAAATATATTGTCGAACACGGTCTACAATACAAAAGACCTGAAGATAACAGTTTCCCTTCCTTGATTTTTTAACCCTCGCAAACTTTTAAGTGGTAGCATAATTAAATAATTTGGCTCGGAAACAGAAAAATCAAAGCCAAAGAAAATGAATTGAACTCAGTTTAATTAAAAGCATTTGGTTCAGTTTTGAGTTTTCAAAAAATGTTTTTTTTAGTTAATTCAATTTTTACTCATATAAAATTATAAATTCAAGAAAATCTAAAAAACCTGAAATATTATGTCAAAATGAAAAATTGAATTCAATCCAAAAATAAAATTTTGATTTCATTTTCTTAATATAAAAATATTAGTTTATTGTCGATTAACATTACTGGTTTCGGTTAATTAAATCGACTGGATATCCAACCCTTTAAATTGTGATAAAAGAAATTATAAAACTTATACTCTATTGTGTTTCCTGTAAAATAATTGGCAGGAAAAATAACTGCTGAAAAATATTTTCAAATAACTTATTTCCATTGGTTGATTGTAAATATTGAGAATATTAGTTAAAAATATTAAGTTTTTATGTCATTAGACCATAAAAAATATTAATAATAATATAAATTTCTAATTTAAAAAAATTTTATTATTTAAATATGAAGAGAAATATAAAAAAAATATAAAAATTAAATCAAAAAACCGCCTGGTGGCTGGTGGTGATGGCCGATGGTAGTCCAAGTGGTAAAATAATGACTGATGGTAGTTAACTACGATGATTAATAATTAAAAAAAATAATAAGATTTTTAAGAATTTGTCGATGTTTGGCAAATATTTTTTAGTCTCGTTGAAAATAATAGTTATTTTCCTTAAAAAATCGACTTAATTTTGTTTGAACCAGGAAAATATTTTTCATTGATTATTTTCTCTGAACGCCCCCAAAAATGAAAAAGTTGTGAAAAATATTTTTTCTGCAAAATTATTTTTCATTTGGCGATTAATTGTTAAACTTTGTTATTGGCATGGGAATGAATAATATAATTTTATTTATTTTCGATAATGTATATACTAAAATTTGAATTATATCATCGAAAATCATTGCGATTAAAAGTGAAGAATTAATAATAAGAAATCATTATAAACCCCCCCACCCACCAATCTTACTGATACGACACGGCCGGTCGAACGAAGGGCGAATTATAAAAAAAAAAAAAAAAATAATAAAAGAAAAAAAAAAAAAATAAAAAAAAAAAAAAATAAAAAGTATAAATAAAAATATAAAAAAAAAAAAAAAAAAAAACGCATAAAAAAAAAAATAAAAAATAAAAAAAAACCCTTTTAGATTGAAAATATAAATTTAAACGGACTAAATTATTAAAAAAAACTTTGAACTTTGTGAGTAGTTTTAACTTTACTCTTAAATTTAACTTTTTTTTTTCTTCTAAATTCTGAATTTTTCAATTTTAGTTGCCGTAGCACTCTAATTTCATTGAATCTATTAAGAATAAAGATAATTATTTTTGTTGAATTATACTCCTTTTATGGTCAGGGTAACTTAAATTCATTATTTTTAATAACGTCCTAAGCTAATAATGGTTTAAAAATTTAAATTCATAAAAAGCCAAGTAAAATAATAAAATTTTAGTTAGTTTATAGGAAGCTAAAAATTTAGTTTAGATTTTTTTGTTTTGCCTTTTTTTAAAGCACGAAAAATTTTATTTTATACTGCAGGAGTTTAAATCTCATATAAAAAATAGATTTTATTCAATTACGGTGTCATTTTAAATTTTTAGGAAAATTATTACTTGTTGTCAATATCATATAAAATTATAATAAAAGTATTCTTTTAAGATGAACTGATTATATATATATATATAATACTATATATTTGTATAAATATTTTTATAATTTATTGTATAGCAATCAGGAGGGAGGGAATCTAAATTTGGGAGAAAAGGTCCAAAACTATATATTTGTATAAATAAATATTTATATTTATTTATAAGCAATCATGGAGGGAGGGAATCTAATTTGGGAGAAAAGGTCAAACTTAGATCCCACAAAAATAATATTTTATTCATTAAGTTAGATACAATTTTAAATTAGGGTGCTTTTATAATTAAAATTAAAATTCATGGTTATAGGAGAAAAAAGTTGGATTTAGAGTACAGTTAAAACTAGTGCAAAATTTAGAGTATTTTCAACGATTTAGCCATATTTAAACTATATTTCTTATATTTAATTGTGAATAGATGTGATAGAATTGCTATGACATGTTCATTTTCCTTTTCCTTCATTTATATGCTCTTTCACAATTATTGTTTCTTATTAATGTTTTAGACATTTTCTCCTTCTGCAATTTCCAGGTATCTTCAATGGTTATCATTAATTTTCATTTCAATTTGCCAATTTCTTACTAATGGAAAAAATGGATGGTTGACCGTTAAAAACTCTTAATTACCTTCTATGATCAAAAGAATTGAGATCTAGACCACTCTATTTATTTTCAAAAAATAATTTATCTTAAGAAAATATTTATTGAAGTAAAATATTTTTCAAAGGATAAATAATTTTTTGTTGTAATACTTAAAATTAGTTCAAAATATTAAAAGCTTTAATTTATAAGCTATGAAAATATTTAGAATTAACAGGCAATCATGTGAGGTCTGACTAATTCTTTTATTAATAAAGAGTGGAAATATCTAGTTTGAGGCCTCTTAACTATAAGAATTTTTACCAATTTTATGAACCAAATAGAGAGCTACCCTTTTTTATAGTTGCAGTGTTATTTTAGACTATTAAGCCTCCTAAATGAATTAAAAATGTATATTGAAAATTATAAAAATTTTATATTTTAAATATTTATTGTTAAAATATGAGGAAAATACGTGCAAATGATTTGGGTAGTTGCCGATAAACAGTGGTGGTGGTCAGAGATGACTAGTAGTCGCGGTTACTAGTTATCAGTGAATAATAAATATATTTTTATAAGATTATATTAAAATTGTATATGTCTAGAAAATATTTTTCCCTTTTTATTTATAAAAAGTTATTTTCTTTTAAAATGATTTAATTTTCTTTTCATCTAGAAAAATATTTTCTTTAAGGATGATGTTGTATACCATAGCTTGAGCCGACTCAAATATGAGTAAAATAATAGTTTCAACTTTTTAATATTTCAATAAAAAATTAATTAGTTAAAAGCTTGAGTATTTAATAAAATAATATTTATAAATTACAGTATTTAATTGATATAATTTTATAAATTAAAATATTCAATAAATTAAAAAAAAATAAAGGTGTCATAAATTTTTTTCTAATAAAATACAGACAGTAAATTTATGCATTTATCATAAAATTTAGGGTTTTATAAAATTTAAAAGCGAAGTTATGCGTTTGGGCAGAATAATTGCAACCGGAACCGACGACCACCCACCAGTAGATTTTCTTGTCTTAAAAAATCTTTGCACGTAATATTTCTCTTCGTTTTATAAAAAATAGGGACCTTGAAGGTGCAACTGTGGGACAGCATTGTAAAACACAAGCAGAGAATGGGACCCAGTGGTTGCACGTGAAGCAGACGCGTCATTTTTTGTCGATTACCTGTTGCTCTAAAAACGCGTCAATTGTAACTGTTTTTCAAATACCTTTGTCTTTAAATTAACCCCACTTCTAAAAACGGGCCAAACACTAACCATTCTTCGTCTCTATCCAAAACAAAAAGGTTAATACTTACTACTTTTTTTCTAAATAGAAACCCAATTAAACTTACCAGTTTATATAACTGAACTAGATTTTATTCGCTTTAATTTTTTATTTTTTATAAAACCTGAAACATAATTGAATATTTTTAAAATCAAACTGAGCTAAATTGATAGATTCCACTCATTTTTGATTTAGTTTAGTTTGGTCAGATTTTACATCTTCAAAGAATAAAATTTATAAATTTATAATTTTAATTTCATAAAAGATTATCTTATTAGTTTCTTTCTATGCAAAACTACAGATTATTTAATTGCATTACTAAATTTATCAATTTTCTTCATTTTAGTTACTATATAATTTAATTTATTCATTATAAATAGATCATCAAGCTTTTTGTTGCCTGTTTTGGAGCAAAACCTCATTTATAAACTGATGTGGACCATTTAGATTTTCTTTTATATATATATGACATTTATTTCTTATTTTTTAAAAAAATTTTGTTAAATAATTTTTATATTAAATAAATTTGGTTTAAACAATGGACAGGTAAACCTGAAGTGAAAGGGATATTTCGGATTTGGAATTATACAATCCTCTTTTATTCCTTTATCAAAGTTGAGCATTTGGTTGGTTCCCTTTATTTGATTCAAGGTTTTTTTCATAGAATTTAATTGAATTAACTTTTATATTAACCGCATTGAAATAAAAGGAAATGAAAACTAAGTTAATCGACCCATTTCGGTTAAAATGTCGTATTAACATATTTTCACCCAGTTCTAATACTTTAACTAAATTAATTCTCCTATTTATTTTTTAATTCTAAACACAAACGATTACATTTTATTTTTCTGTTAATTTAATTAATACGGAATTTAATTTATTCAAATTATAACTGATCATAAAAGTATCTAAAATTAATCAAATTTAAATTTGATTATTAATTCACCAAAATTACATAGACACAATTTAATTGAATTGATCGATTTAATCAAATCAACCGAACCATTTGCTCATACTGATCCTCTATAGCATTAATAGAATTACGAAATGTTAAACCCTTCAATTATAGAACTTACAATTTTTTTTTTTCAATTTAATAAATGCATTTTCTTGATATCAAACTTCTAAATCATTTTATGATAATCGAACTCATTTACCATTCTGATAAATATCACGTTGGTGAATAATAATTTAACATTAACACCAAAATTATTTATATATTAATTGGGAATAAAAGAAGATGTGGAGTCGCCCGACTTTAAGATTTGGTTCAATTTTTGTTTTTGGCTACGTAACGCCCCAATTTGACACGCTTAAAATTGTTACTCCAGTTATTAATTTTGCGTTGAGAAAGATCAGCACCATTTGTCCCGTCATTTCGTCCTCGTTGCTTTCCATTTTCTTTGTTCTTTTTTGTATTCTACATTTTGGATTTGCATTATAAAATCATTGCTCTAATCAATAATTAAGTTACTGCATTAGCGATATATTTGGTAACTTGTTAAGATCTTTGAGGATTCTGAGCTCGGTTGGTAGTAGTAGTAGTAGTGAGAAATGGAGAGGGAGAAGGTGATGATGGAGAGAGAGAAGAAAGGGGGTGTTTCAAGTTCATCTAACGGTGGAGGTATGAATAATGTGATTAGGGAAATGATGGATGTGATTGAGACTGTTGGATCTTATGCAGGGTACAGGGAAACACAAAGGAAAGAATGCTTAAACTTGGTAAGAAGATTGAAGCTGTTGCTGCCTCTTTTGGAAGATATAAAAGAGATTAATAACGAGTTGATTTCAAGTGAGGCTTTGAATTGTTTGGTTAATTTGAAGAAAGCACTTTTTCTTGCCAAGAAATTGGTCAAGAAATGTAGCTGTGGAAGTAAGATTTATCTGGTTAGTGTTCATGCTTGAGGTTTTTCTTTTTCTTTTTTGTTTTTTTTTTTTTTTTTTGAAATTTAAAATCTTGCCATTAATTTATCTGGGTTAGTGATATTCTTCACTCTCTCTCTCTCTTCTTTTTGATATCAGGCATTGGAAAGTGATGCAGTGATGGGTAGATTTCATGCTGTATATGATAAATTAAATCAGGCTTTGGATGATATGCCTTATGATGATTTTGGGATGTCAGAGGAAGTTAAAGAACAAGTGAGTTTCTTTTTTTGTTCTATATTATTAGTATTTTGAGGTTCTCTTCAATCCTGAGTCACTGTAAGTTTCATTTTGCTTAAATCTACTTATTAAAGGAGGGTTTGCAGCATAAGGTGAAAATTAATTTTATTTTTCCCAATTCTCATATATCTCACTTTCATGAATTAAAGTGTAACCTTTACAGCTGAGATGCTCAAAATTTGGTCCTCTTATCTGAGTACCATATATTTGATTTTTGATTTTTGGTAAACTCAGCATTGTCAATGGGGCCTGCAGAAAGGCTTGTTCATGCTAGTCTATTTTGATGGTAATTTGGTACTCTAACTTTTGCAAGGTGTTTGTTAAATTGTCTAGCTGACAGTATTTCGATGAAGAATCGAAGATTGATGGGAAATTATGGTTTTTACACGCATACTTTGTTTATTGATTCAATTCAGGTTGAGCTCATGCGTATGCAACTTAGAAGGGCCAAGAGGCGAACTGACACGCAGGATATAGAACTAGCAATGGATCTAATGGTTGTATTTTCTAAAAAGGATGACAGAAATGTAGACAGTGCAATACTAGAAAGACTGGCCAACAAGTTACAACTGCATACTATTGCAGACTTGAAAGCTGAAACAGTAGCTGTTAGAAAACTAATCAAACGGAGAGATGTGCGGAATGCTGAAAGCATTCAACAAATAACCGATCTGCTAGGAAAACTCAAACAAGTTGCAGGTGTTGATGAAAACATTGAGCTTGATGGTCCTATCTCTTCAAAAGGATTTAAGAGGTGTCAATCTTTGCTAATTCCTCATGAATTCCTTTGTCCAATTACTCTGGAGATGATGGTGGATCCTGTTATTGTGGCAACAGGACAGGTAATATTATGTCGAACAGCTACATTCTTTCCATATATGTTTTGTTGTGATATAGCAACTAGTTTTAGCTTGATAAATCATTTGTCATACTGATTTGAGCTGCTTCATGATTCATGAACCAGACTACAATAATAATTAGTTTCAACTTGCTTTCACTTTGACAACATGTTTAACGTTACACTTAAAATGGACCAATGAGTGTAGTATGCTTTCTTATATAGAACTTGCATAGCGTGCTTTCAGAGATATTTTATTGAGAATCCTGATTTCAATAATTTTGATTCAGAGTATGACAATTTTATTCGTCACTACTGCAAATTGCTAGTGTGGAAAAAATTGTATTCTCATTGCCTAAGAGAGAGTTGAAAATTTTCTTTTTATTACTGATAGAAGAATTGAAGTCAATGCGTAAGACAATCCCTGTTGATATCTGAAAGCATAAATTTTTCTCTTTTTAGACTTATGAAAGGGCAAGCATACAAAAGTGGTTGAATTCTAACCATCGGACATGCCCAAAGACTGGACAAACCTTGGATCATTTGACTTTGGCACCAAATTTTGCACTACGGAACCTTATATTACAATGGTGCGAGAAAAATCATTATGAATTGCCTAAGAAGAATGCTTGTGTGGGTTGCGATGGCTCTCCGGCTGAAGTTGTAGAGAAAATCTCCTACTTGGTCCAGAATCTGTCCTCTTCCGAGATTGACGTACAGAAAGAAGCTGTTATGAAACTCCGTATGCTATCAAAAGAAAATCCAGACAACAGAATTTTAATCGCCAACATTGGAGCAATCCCTCCACTAGTCCAGTTATTGTACTATCGAGACTCAATTGTTCAAGAACAAGCTGTAACAGCTCTGTTGAACCTATCAATTGATGAAGCGAACAAAAGAATTATAGCAAGAGAAGGAGCGATTTCTGCTATAATAGAAATATTGCAAAATGGAACTGGAGAGGCTAGAGAAAATTCTGCAGCAGCTTTGTTTAGCTTGTCAATGCTTGATGAGAACAAAGTACTTATCGGATCTTTAAATGGAATCCCTCCTTTGGTGCACCTTTTGCAGAATGGTACAACCAGAGGCAAAAAGGATGCTGCAACTGCACTTTTCAACTTATCTTTGAACCAAACCAACAAGTTCAGGGCTATTAAGGCTGGTATTATACCGGCATTGCTTCATCTACTAGAGGATAAAAATGTAGGCATGATTGATGAAGCCCTATCAATCTTATCACTCCTTGCCTCACATCCTGATGGAAGAAGTGAAATTGGAAGGCTATCTTTCATAAAAACACTTGTTGAAATTATTAGGAATGGGACTCCAAAGAACAAGGAATGTGCAACTTCCGTTCTTCTCGAGCTGGGGCTAAATAACTCATCGATCGTATTGGCTGCACTTCAATATGGTGTTTATGAACATTTGATAGAGATTACAAGATGTGGAACCAACAGAGCTCAAAGAAAAGCAAATTCTCTTTTGCAGCACATGAGTAAGTGTGAACATATTCCATAAACTTACTACAAACTATTGATATCACTTTAGAGTGTGTACTGAAGCATTTTTGGCATTCTATTATGTACCCAACGGCCTTGCTTGCACTCACTCTGGCTTTATATAATATGAAAGCCTTAAAGAATAGTGGCTTTCCCTGGCCAACTTTAGATTGACTCTCAATTTGCTTGTTTATTAATAAAAGCATGTAAATTGAGGTTATTTGTAGCCAAAAAAAAGTATATATATTACAATTTCTTTGTTTTTACTTCATTAAATTGTTTATGCTCATCAATAATTGAGAGTGATCAAGAGATTTAAAGGGTCTTGTCTTTTGAGTTGAAATTCTCAATCACCAAATAGTAGTTGAAGTATTTGTTGGTTGGAGGCTTAAGTTGGTGGATAAATTAGGAATGAGTTTGGTTAGTTGGTAAGACATAGGGATGCTAATTTTATCTAACCTGACGGTTGGTTTGGGTATGGATAGACGGATTTGAAATGGGTTGGGTTCAAAGATTTGGGTATACGCTACTTATTATCTGTTTAATTAATATTTCAAAAATTTTAAATAATTATTTTATTCAGTCAAAATAATAATTTTATAACCCTTATTTTTTATTTTTGAAAAATACAAATAAAAAAATATTTTTGACATTAAACAAGTTTTTAAATACATTTAGATATTTAAATAGATAATTATAATCGAATTCGGTAGCAACGCTGCCTATTTTTGAGTAAATCTACCTTATACTTTGTGGTTTGACAATTTAGTGTTTTGTTTTTTTTCAAAGATTCAGTTTCCCGACTATACATTTAAAAAAACAATTGCATCCACATTTATGCACAATGTAACTTGGGAGAAAAAAGATCTCCCCCGTTTGAAAATGGATAAGGGATCATGATGACGCTATATCCCGTGTCATTGGTACTTAAGTTTCAATTTTTCAATATTTCAAAAGTTATTTTTTTAGATCAAAATATTAAAAAATAGTTAATGGAATCGAATTAAATGTATATATAATATTTAATTTAGTTACTTAGCAAATATATAATGTGCTTTGTACGTATTTTATAGATGTTGAATTTTACTATATAAATAATTTTATATAGTTTTTTTTATAATTTATAATATTATGAATAGTTTTTTTTTACTAAAAATCTAAGATAATATTAGAATAGCTACGAACAGAAAATCTTAAAAGAAAAAAAAAATATCAATCTGGCATATAATATTGGATAATTTAGCAAGAAAAGGAATAAACCTAGTAGTTTATATATATATATTTTTTAATGAGCACATCGTTCAAGCTTTTGAAGTTGTACTACAAAATTTCTTTAGGAATTTTACTAGAATCCTCTTTTACGATTGTAATTCTATTGAGGTGCAATTCCAATTTCTGATGAACATTAGGATGTTGATAGTTAATTTCTTTAACTATGCTATTAGTATATAAATTTATAAATTTTTATTTTTAATTCGATGAGCAAAAGTCTAAGCAAGAAAATATTGGTTTAACAAAACCATTCTTTTTCATACTTTCTCACTGTAATATTCTTTTGAAACGTATAAAAAACGATCGTAAAGCATAAGCAAGTATTCTTTTTTTTATCGTAGTATTTTACTCTTTTAATATAAATATTAAATTAGAAGTACCATGTAATACCCTGAATTTTTATTTTCAAAAATTTTCCAATTAAATTTAATGAACCGACAGCTTGGAAATTAATATTAATATTTTAGTGCGAATACTGTAGAGTCAGTGAGTATGAAATAATTGTCAACGGCCTGGAACGAGATGATTGATGGAGATCGCCCTCAGTCAAATCGTTATCACCTGCCCTGGGGCCATCGACCAGTCCCGTATGATGGAAGATGAATGTTGAAATTGGAAGGCTATCTTCATAAAAACAACTTGTTGAAATTAATTAGGAATGGGCCGCCGGACTGAATTTGGGGTAACACCCGCCAAAAGGAAACGAGAAGGAGGAGAATGTGCAAAACTTCACCTGTTATCTAAGTAGCGGTACAGAGCATTGGTGTGTGTCTTAGGGTTAGAATTTAAATCTTTTTCATTCCTCTGATTCGTATTGGCTTTTTTGTCTACAATATTCTTAATGAGTTTGGAATGATTTTATAAATATAGAACATTTCTGTATGATGCATGGTATTTTACCCGTATACCAGATGGTGGGAACCAACAGAGCTCAAAGAGAAAGCCGAGAGATACCGATCATCCTTCTTATGGGCGGAGTCACAATTGAGAATAGGAAAAGGTGGTTTTGAGGTGAAACATATTCACAATTATAAAAAACTTTATTTCTTTACATTTTAATCCTCCATTGATATCATCCTTTTTATAAAATAGAGTAGTGTAGCTGCACAATGCATTTCTTTTGGTCATTTCCACAATATATTTTTGCCCATACCTCAACATGTGTCCAAAATGGGTAGAGGCTTCTGCACTCACTCCCTAAATGCCACTATCGAAGCTTTACCATGGATGGTAAATATTGAGGATTGTTACTAAGCACTCTAAAGAATTAAGTGGCTTTCTTCACCACTGGGTGCTCCAGGCAGTTTTAAAGGATGGAACCTTTCTGCCAACTACTCATAGGTCCGCTTGTTTTATTTGGAATTTAGAATAGCATTAAGTCACAAGTTGAGGAGTTATAATTTGATCGTGTACCGTTCCAATATAAGAGAAGTCCGAATATTTTATTACCATTACAATCTTCGTTCATAATTGTTCTGTTACACTTCTAGATCATTTGGAGGAGATTTCTCTCGGTTCCTTTATATGGTGGCAGCCTTTCCCATTACATATTAATGAAGTAAGCAGCTCGATCAAGAGATTTAAAGGGTCTCCTCGAATATCTCCTTGAGTATTCGGAACTTCATCTAATCACGGCCAATATGAAAGTGAGTATGCTGACATGTGCCACTGTTGTCTGTGTGTTGGATATGGGCTTTAAGTTTGGTTTGAGACTTATTAAACTAATTAGGGATACTGCCAGTTTGGTACTTAGTTGGTGAGAGACACCTAGGGTAAGGAGAGGTTTAGTATAAATGTTACTATTAGGCTGTACACCTCTTGTACGGTTGGCAGTCTTGTGGGGGGAGAGTCTATCGGTATTGACCGCCGAGACGGATTGTAAGAAGAATGGGTTGGCGTATCAAGATAAGATTTATTATGGGTGTAATTGATACGCTAACCCCAATAAATTATTATGGGCTAGTTGAATTAATTTATGTTTATTGGTTCAAAATTGTTAAGCCATGTTGAATTAATTTCTATTAGTTCAAAGTTGGCAAAGAGGAGTCAGATAACATGCCCTATAATAAATTCCGGCATATTTAAGCTTCCCATCTTTCTCAGTGGATATACAAATGAGGAGAATAATTAATATTATTTGTATCACATTTATTACAGTTTCATGTTGGCATTGGTATTGAAATATTCATTTTTATAGTTATAGGTTATAGAATTGAGCATAATTTTATTCCTTTAATCCATTCTTTCTGTCGTAAAGGGGTTTTTAGTTTCTGTGGGGTCTTACGTGTCATAGTGCCAACAGGCCGGGCCTAAATTACTTTTTCATTAGATAGCTGAGTAAATGCACATGTATACTCTCTTAATTAGACTATCTAAGGATGAGTGTGTCTTTGACTAAGGGTATATTTTATGCTGTAGTTTTTGTTTTTTGTATTTCTATCAAAGATATTTGGTGCAGAGTTAGTTACCACCGTTGAGCACGGTCATACACTATTATTTAGGTTAAAAGCTAAATGTGTCGCCATCCCACATTTTGCTTTTTTGCTATTGTTCTCACAATTACTGATATAGATTAAAACTGGGGAGGAAAATAAAGCAATCTCCCGTTTTGATTGATAGAGTGCCTTACAGAGAATCCACTCTTGATTGACGTGCTTATAGAGATTTTCCACCAGCCCCACACACGTTAAGTGTATCATTGGTAGCGTCTCCAAATGTCTAAATATTTATTATCTTCAATGTTACTTTTCCCATAGGAGGATTTATTTTTCTTCTTTTTTATGAGAATTGAGCAAATTCTTTAATACTAGAACGAACTAATTAGTTGATATGGAATCGAATGATAATAAAAGAACTGGAGGTAGTTGCTATTCACCTCATAGTTCAGCCCTGGTAAGTTTGAGATCTGATCTTTAGCGCTACTCAATAGAATTATTACACATTTGTCATAGTACTTTCGTGTATCTGTTCCTATCTCTTTTTTTTCTGTTATATTTGATCTCGTTTGAATGTATTTGAAACACTGAATATAAAATAATTTTGATGCCATAATTATTATTGATTTATATTTAGTTTATAATTGTGTTTATATGATCTGGCTTAGTATAATAATATTAACGTATGTGAAACGTGAGAGTCGGTATTAGATTTATTTACACTAAAAAAATACTAAAGAGAGATATTAAACGATTTATTAAAGAGTATTATTGACGATTCTTACTGAACAGTAAACACCCATACTTCACACAAGAATACATAATAATAAACCCTTGCTGTAAACAATATACCAATCTCTGAACTGAGTCCATATATAATAAATTTCATTGTCATAATTTATATTTAGGAGGAAATATTATTTAAAGTCATCAGTAGATGGCGTAACAAACCTTTCATCAATATTACGTATTGTATCTTATTTTTATGTTATTCTATTATTTTTTTTCCCTCCTACATAATTTGCTTGTTAATGAGGTTACACATTATATATCGTATAAAATGTTTCCCCCAGCTTTTTGAGAATTGTACTACCTAATTTCTTTAGGAATTTCCTAAATGCCTCTTTTACGCACTTTTTTGAGGAGATTGTTGAGTCTAGTTTTGGCAGGTAAGCAAGTGTCCAATTTGACTTGCATACGCATGAGGGACAGCATTGAGGGATGATTTGATAGTTCCTCTTAAATTCCTTATGTAACTATTCTTGATTAGGTAAAGAGTTATATAACTTATTATTTCACCTCAAATTTCCTATCCATCCCTCTATTTAATATTTCGAAGGGCCAGCACAAGTAGCTTACCCAGCAATATGAATAATTATTTGGCTTTACAAAAAGGAAATACCATTTTCCTCTATTTTTTGGCTATATTTACATAGACCTAATCTCTGGGCAAATTCTGGTCTTATAATTCCTATCTTTTTTTGTTATTATTTAATTTTCCCACTTACATATTCCTCTTCTGGGTGTCATGCATACTCGCTAATAAAAAGGACGATCTGAGTGA